TCTATTCATTAGGTGTGTGCTGCTATCTGATTGGTTTAAAACGTTAAATTGGATTGGATTCTGCGTATGAATACTTTTGTTGAAGAGAATACCTTTCTTTCTATCCAAAGTTTGACCTTTTAAAAATTTCCACTCTTCTTGTTGAAATGAATACCGGATTAATATCCAATTTGAGAAATATTGATCAGAACAACTTCGATTTATTTGTATTGTACACATCCTGATGACAAGAATGAGGAATCACAGAGGCAAATGACTCATCCACTGCATCATGACGTCATAGCATTCGTCATGTCTAACAGCCATGAAACGTCAACGTCCAGACAGTGCTACGGACAATTAGGAGATGAACATACTGTGTTTTCAATGTAGAGCTAGGTTACCTGTAGATGTAACCCCGCTAAATTGAATTTGGAACCGAACGCGCAGCGTGAGGTTCAAATGTAAAATTCAGCGCGGTTAAATCTACAGGTAACCTAGCTCTACATTGTAAACACAGTATGTTTATCTCCATTCTACCATGACTAAATAAAACGCTTTGGTGTTAGCAAATATACTGAGTGAAGCGGTATGGGTTTAGTTCAGTGTTTTGAGTGGGTTATCGATCTGAATTACGGAATCACCGAACAAAATATGGCGCTGTATATACTCAAGCAGTTTTTTTTACACCTTAATACTTCACACGTACATACAACAGGCATTGAGAGCATATAAGCACGGCAACTTTGTAAGCTTACAAGAGGTGGGCATTCCTAAAGAAAACAAAGCAAGCTTTGCAAGGCTTTCGCTCTACATCGCACGTCACCATTATGACGTCATATCGCTCATTGTGACGCAATCGATATGACGTCACAGTCATATATAGAAAAGCACCAAAATTCCAAGCTCTCTGTTGTCTCCAAAACGTAAATACATTCCCTTTGTACATTTCTATCGTGTTTTCTGCATGAAATGTATTGCCACACATCCTTTGAATATTGTGGTAACCGCATCTGTGCATTTTGTAACCTGTAATTGTAGATATAATTATTTAAATATGCCTACCGACAATGACTGAAAATAGTACTATTCTATGAATATTAGCTTCCGCGGTGATGCGGCCGTCAAACCAGCTGTTTCAATCAGAGGGGGTTTATTGTTATTTAATAGCCTCTGATTGACCAATCAGAATCGAGTAAATTTCAAATTCATGGTAGAATTTCTGATAACGTTTGTTTTCACATTGACGTTAAAAATATTTGCGGGTGTTATTGGGTATTTGATGCCCGGAAATCTTAACATTTTAAACACCAGAAATCGAATAATCAATACAACCCGAAAAACACATTAACAAAACTGGGAAATGTATTGTCGTTATTCTTTTTCGCACTTCACATACTTTCTTTTTTACAAAAGCCAAAGGTCGCACGATGGAAGACGTAGGAAACCGAGATATGAACATAACTGGCAAGAAGGGTGGATCCGCTGACGAAGTTACAGCAGTTGGATTTAAGTTCAATTAATTCCCTGTAACATCAAGGCCTTGAAGAATAAAAGAATTCAGAGACACATCATTTCTGTGTGCTTTGTGGTAATAGTTGACGACGCTTTTGCTGATCATTCGTCTTGAAACATGCAGATATATGGCCACTGGTTATTGACTAAAATCGGGTTAAGTTATCTCCACTTTTGGGGTTAACGTATTACCAGAGGTTGGTTGGTTGGTTGGTTGGTTTGCTGTTTAAAGCCGCACTCAGCAATATTCCAGCTATATGACGGCGGTCTGTAAATAATGGAGTCTGGAACAGACAATCTAGTGATTGACATCATGAGCATCGATCCATGCAACTGGTATACGATGAAATGCATCAACCACGTCAGCGAGCCTGACCACCCGATCCCGTTAGTCGCCTCTTACGACAGGCATAGTCGCCTTTTACGGCAAGCATGGGTTGCTGAAGACCTATTCTAATCAATCGGGTCAGAAGTTCTGTGAGTGGCGGGTAGGGCAGGACATGTTTACCCTTTCGCGGACACCTGGTGTTCAGTGATATACTCAATTAATTTTCGCCGCTATTTTTTATGCCCAATGGAATCTAGACTTGTTATTATCTGGCGTTGGCGATTTACTTTTACTTGAACTGGATCGATGTTTCTGGTGAACTGAAGTCCTCGAGTTTCATCATAAGCTAAGCCGCATGTATCGAATATGCTGACTCAGCTACAAAAGAAATGTTTGGGCCGAGACATTAAAACTGCCCCCCAAACCCTATTTCTTCAACATTTGTTCATTCCTTATAAGTAGCAGAATCAGTGCTACCGGCCGCGCTGTGAGAAGAAACCGCGCTGCACACACGAAAAATGGTGCTTCTCAGGATAGGTTTTTGTTTGTTTTTCAATTAACTGATAACAACGAAAACAATAGCAACGAGCACTTTTTCTTACCACGTTTTTCTAAGACGCAGTGGCATGGTAAACAAACAGGGATATAAGGAGAGACACATACCATTATCTTTTTCTTGTTTAACATCCAGAAAGCCACTGCACTTTTCCATTGGTAAACACTCGAGAAGATTCCGGGGTAGAATAGGTCTTCAGCAACCCATGCTTGCCGTAAAAGGCGACTATGCTTGTCGTAAAAAGGCGACTAACGGGATCGGGTGGTCAGGTTCGCTGACTTGGTTGAAGCATGTCATCGATCCCAATTGCGTGGATCGATGCTCATGCTGTCAATAACTGGATCGTCTGGTCCAAACTCGATTATTTACAGACCGCCGTCATATATCTAGAATAGTGCTGAGTGCGGTGTTAAACAACAAACAAACAAACAAACAATGATATGAGTTTATTGTGGCGATTTTCCCGTTACCTTTCGTGTTTTAGTTGCAGACTGAACAAACAAACAAACCTTTACTACAAAACATATGCAGGTCATTCGTTAGTTTACGACAGTTTTAAACGAAGACGGAACACGGAACGGGCAACAGCCGGAAGGTGCAAGGTTTGGACTGCTGCTTTAGTCCTGTCCGGCTGCTTTGTCTTAGACGTTATATATGTTGTAATGGGAAATTCATGAACCAATTCCTCAAACAGAAATCCACACAATGGCGGTATATTCCCCCGATGCTGCTCATCTGAGAAGGTCGCAGCCGATACAGTCTTTAGTTTGTCTATTCCGACAAGGGCTTCCTCCACTTGATACTCGCAAAGGTGTAGATGAATGGTTTTTATTTGCTGGGCTATAAGGAGATAACCATGCACCAATACTTGCACTTCACAAGATACGTGACCGTGTGACTGTACTAAATGAAAGGTTGGAGGGAGGGATATAACTCCGCCCATCTCGTATATGTTTAAGCGAAATGCTCCGCCTAGTATTGTGATTGTCATGTTGAACAGGTACTCCTTCATTGTCTGGCAGTGTGTCTTAAAACTGAAATTATTAAATTATCCATAACGCTGATGTTTATATTGTCCTTTATTCTCCCCAAAGAACGAATTCCCTCAAAACAGCACGATGTCAGTTTGAGTCAACTGGAGTCTGACAATCTTGGCGGATTTACTAAACAAATGCGACAAACCCTTTCCACTATCTTAAGAAACATCTTTGTACGATTCCAACTTTCTCATAAACATGTGTTTATGAATCACTATCAGACAGCATTGATGTCAGGTTAAAAAATCGTGGGCGTATTCTGTACCTACGGTGGTACCCATCACAAACGCATCACAATCATTTTGGTCAATGATGAGTCAGTTTGGAATTGTATAGTCAAATCCGTAAAACCTAATTAAACAACTATTGAGCAAGCGTCGTATGGCGCTGTTTGATCGTTCAACGCAACTGCGGTACGGTGTCATGCATCAACCAAGTCAGTGATTTAAACCAACCGATCCCGTTAGTCGCCTTTTATGACAAGCTGTAGACCAATTCTAACCCAGGTTTTCATGGCAATCCTGAAACTTTGAAGATAAAGATGAAACTTAATAAATGAGTAGGAGATGTTTGTTTGTTTGTTTGTTGTTTAAAGCCCCAATATTCCAGCTATATAGTTGCGGTCTGTAAATAATCCAGCAATTGACATCATGAGTATCGATCCACACAATTCGGATACTATGACACGCATCAACCACATCAGTGAGTATGACCACCCAAAGGATGTATTTCTTATGATTAAGTCTGTTACTTTTATAATGGACCCACCTCCGTGGTCTAGTGGTAGAGCGTCCGCACAGAGAGCGGAAGGTCCGGGGTTCGACCCCCGACCGCGTCATACCAAAAGACGTTAAAAGATGGTACTTGTTGTTACCCTGTCTGGCGCACGACATTACGGGGCTAAAACAAGGAATGGTCGGCTCGGAGTCAGTATACTGTGTCTGAGTTGGGTATTCATGTTAAACTGCGGCATGAGTGAGCTAGCACTATAAATCGGCATCAGTCCGGACTAGCACAAGCAGCTACACAAACATACACACGTACATGCACGTCGTGCAATAATCTTGGACGCGACGTCAAACCCCATTTCACCTCACCTTATAATGGACACAACAATACTAGAGGATATTAACACACTTCACACACGACAGTCCTCAATAAATGTCACACTCACATACTCATTCTGAATCTGACACATGAGTTTTAACCTTTTTATTTAACAGCAGATCAGCATACAGTACGTTGTTGGTTCTATTACACGTGATGGACATTTATAACCTTAAACAATATAACAATACATAAACTACATGCAAACATAGGTCGAGTATCTCAGCTTACAAAACATAGCAAAATAATAGACCAATAGTAAAAAGCTGTACATGAACATATTGCTTGGTTGGTTGGTTTGTTGTTTAACGCCGCACTCAGCAATATTCCAGCCATATGAATGCGGTCTGTAAATAATCGAGTCTGGACCTGACAATCCAGTCATTAATATCATGAGCATCGATCCACGCAATTGGGATCGATGACATGCATCAACCAAGTCAGCGAGCCTGACCACACGATCCCGTTAGTCGCCTTTTACGACAAGCATGGGTTGCTGAAGACCTATTCTACCCCGGAATCGTCACGGGTCGAACATATTGGTCACACAGATGTATAAATCAATTTTGTTTCGTCCGTGGCAATAAATCATTGTAACGACTACCAAACGTAAGCATTACAACTGGCATGTTATTCAGAAATAGTATCAAGTAATGGAAAAAGCCTATTCTGTTTTTGTTTTTCACAACAAACAAGCGTAAACAACTACTAAGAATCCTTGTGAAATGAAGGAAATGCATGGTGAGCGAAAGTTTCTAAGACAGATACATTTATGGAATGCTACATTGTTACATGTGCAGTTATGTAATGGGGAACACAAATAAGGTCTATGATGTACACGTACGCGCTACTCGTTGATAATATTCAAGTTAATATTGTATTGTGTGCAATGGTTGTGGTTTGGGGATCTATTTCTTGGAAATTGGGATCGGTACCAAGAACTTATTCTTTTGGGTGTCTGTCACAGATCCAGCCACCTCTCTCTTCATCCCCAACAACAGCCCATTTATAGCCAGCATCCTTCTTCAAAGCAGCATGTGTCAGCATCATAGGGTTTGGCTCGCCATCTGCCCAACTGCTGTACGTAATAATGGTTTTATCCATATACTTCCATTCGGCTGATGGGGGAAGAAAGCCATGATGATGGAAGATACCAATGTGGATAAGTTCCAGCGCTGAAGCGATAAATATAGTGAGTGAGTGAGTATGGTTTTACGCCGTTTTCAGCACTATTCAAGCAATATCACGGCGGGGGACATCCGAAATGGTTGGTTTGTTGTTTAACGCCGCACTCAGCAACATTACAGCTATATGACGGCGGTCTGTAAATAATCGAGTCTGGACCAGACAATCCAGTGGTTGACATCATGAGCATCGATACACACAATTTTGCAAGGATGACATCCATCAACCAAGTCAGCAAGCCTGACCACCCGAACCCGTTAGTCGCCTCTTACGACAAGCATAGTCGCCTTTTACTGCAAACATGGGTTGCTGAAGACCTTTTTTACCCCGGATCTTCACGGGTCGACACCAGAAAAGGGCTTCACACATTGTACCCATGTCGGGAATCGAACCCAACGCTTTTACCACGAGGCTACCCAACCGCCCCAGGTAAATATAGACTGAAGTAGAATAGTATTTGTTGTTTTGTGTAAGTAGTTATAGTGATTACACAAAACAACAAATACTATACTACTTCAGTCTATATTTACCTGGGCCGTCGGGTAGCCACTTTTGTGTAAAATACTTATAGTGGACCCGTATAGTGGACATAGGCGACTATGCTTGTCGTAAAAGGCGACTAACGGAATCGGGTGGTCGGGCTCGCTGACTTGGTTGATGCATGTCATCGATCCCAATTGCGTGGATCGATGCTCATGATGTCAATCACTGGATTGTCTGGATATGACGGCGGTCTGTAAAATACACGAGTCTGGACCAGACAATCCAGTGATTGACATCATGAGCTTCGTCGATCCACGCAATTGGGATCGATAAAGAGGAACCTGGAGGTATTGTTTGCCTCCAGACCTCCAGTTTTGCGTAAGCTAATCCTGTCCTTAAACAAAGAAGAATGTTTCTGACATCTGTGATCACTCAATCAAAGCTTAAACCACTCGGCTACCCCACAGCCCCTATTTTATTATGAACGTTCATATGAATAAATAAGTGCCGAATGGCCAAATGAAGGATAGAAAATAGGCAAAATAAAGAAATGAATTATCAAAACAGTTTTACAATATATTTACTAGAGTTTTCCACAAGTTTCCTTGCCGTGTCCTGCTGCTCCTGGCTCTTGATCTGTATCAGTGAAGCACCTGGCAGTTCCTCGCAAGCCTTCCTTGCTTCCTCCCAGGTCTTTTCCTTTGGGTGATAATCGTATTTGTCACTGATGGCGGCAGTCTGTAATCACAAATCAATGAAGCATTAATTCTTCAACATGTTTGTTTGTTGTGTTTAACGCCGCACTCGGCAATATTCCAGTTATATGACGGCGGTCTGTAAATAATCGAGTCTGAACCAATCCAATGATTGACAACACGACCATCGATCCACGCAATTGGGACACGATGATATGCATATGCATCAACCAAGTCAGCGAGCCTGACCACCCGATCCCGTTAGTCGCCTTTTACAAGCATAGTCGCCCTTTACGGCAAGCATGGGTAGCTTAAAACCTCTTTTACCCCGGATCTTCACGGATTTCATGTACACAAGCGCATTGTTATGTATGAGACACTCAGGGCTATGACACGCAGAGTTGCACACAGCAATAAGTTTGCAATGTTGTAAAGCGGTGTTAACGAATGTATCAGCAAAATTGTCATCGTTGTGTCGAACTTATGGTTGTCTCGAAGTAACATCATGGTCCATGCGAATTCTTTCTTTATTCATCATTGTCGGATAACTTGAATTATTTACGTTTGTGTTTTCAAATTCAAGACAACGGTTTTTGCCTGTATTTCGAACCTGCATTACATCAACTCGAGGTTACTGTCATTAACATAGTAATCTATATTAATGAAACATTTTTTTCAGAAGATGTCAAAACGTATTTGGAAGGCGTATTGTTTACATGCCCGCGTCCAATGGCAGAAATATTGCTGTGCGGTGTCAGACAGCGAAATTCTACTCTTTTATGAAAATTGTTAAGTGCTGTGTCAGGCAACAAAAATACATCATTTAAATTGTGTGAGTGGCGGGTGCTACGGATAGGGACATGGTGTCATATCTGATGTTCAGCATGCTTGCCGTAAATGGCGACTATGCTTGTCATAAAAGGCGACTAACGGGATCGGGTGGTCAGGCTCGCTGACTTGGTTGATGCATGTCATCGATCCCAATTGGGTGGCTCGATGATCATGATATTAATCACTGGATTGTCTGGTGCAGACTCGATTATTTACAGACCGCCGTCATATAGCTGGAATAGTGCCGAGTGCGGCGTAGAACAACCAACCAACGTAAATAATCGAGTCTGGACCAGACAATCCAGTGATTGATATCATGAACATCGATCCACGCAATTGTTTGTTTTTGTTTGTTGTTTTACGCCGCACTCAGCAATATTTCTGCTTGATGACTTGAAGTCTTGCGGAGAGTTCTTTTTTTCGCTATAAATCGTTATGCAGATATCTAAATATGAGAGAGACGAGTCTCTTTTATTTCTAGTTAAGGCGAGTTAATCAGAGGAAAGGACGATATTTGAACGATATAAAACCTGCCGTCTTATGCATAAAGAACAAGAAAGAAGTGAGCAAAGCTCACATACCCCCGTTATCCCCGCTGGTCAACAACAAATAGTAAATAGTTTGCTAATTAATGAAATATACCTGTTGCTTTAAGTCAGAGGAACTGCCCTTTCCTTTGTAACCCCATGAGGACGCATTATGTTTGAAATGAACACATGCTTTGGCAAATATATTTCAATCTAGAGTGGGATAATCAATGCTTAGCACAACATACATTCTTGATGTTTCTTAATGTGTCCATGGAAACGGCAAAAATTAAAAAATTCAGAATCTTCAAACTAGCAAAAGGCACAAATACTCATTGTGGTAAATGGGTATAGCACGTTTGGTGAAGCTAGGGTGCATGGTTAAAAAGATATGGGCCGTACAAAACACCAACCCTAAAAGTTTAAGTTTCTAATGTTTCAATGGAACCGGCGGGGGTACGGGTGGCCCAGTCGTCGCGATTCGCTGTGCAGAGTTGCGTCCCTTGGGCATGCTAGAAACCTATGATTGTGAATTCGAATCCCGGTTCGCCCCGATTATGTTTCTAGGTTTGTCAGCACCATACCCGTGCTCGTGGGTTTCACCGAAGTGGTAAACGTCTGAGACCTGCATCACTTCGGGCTTTCCTCCAACATTAAGCTGACACGCCGTGATATGACTGGAATACTGTTAAAAGCGGCGTTAAACCCAACTCACTCACTCACTCCATGGAAACGGAAAAAGTTAAAAATTCAGAATCTTCAAACTAGCAAAAGGCACAGGTACGCATTGTGGTTAATGTGTGTAGCAAGGTGAAGCTAGGGTGCATGGTTAAAAAGTTATGGGCCGTACAAAACCTCGGACGGAAGGACGGACAGACGGAACGCTATATACCCCCGATTTACTTCGTAAACGGGGGTATAATAAAGTATTGTCTCAAAGTTTTCACTGTGACTTTTTTAAGCCTTCAAGAATTGATATTCATGTTACTAGAATTAATTTATAAGTTACTGGAATTAATATACATGTTGTATATCTTTAGTTAAAGAAAGGTGACGAAGTAGAGGCCGCATGGCTGGTGCACAGAGCAGATAGGTACCCTGGTCATGTGGAGCGCATTGATGGAGGTAATTCTAAGAATATTTAAATAGCTTATAACCCTTGAATTGTAGTTATGCTATGTGACCATGGACTTTAAATATGCTATGATTCAAATTTATTAAGTCTTAAGTCTTACATTGTCGATCCCTGGCCACTTCATACCAAAAGACGTTAAAAGATGGTACTTGTTGTTACCCTGTCTGGCGCTCGGCATTAAGGGGCTAAAACAAGGACTGGTCAGCTTGGAGTCAGTGTACTGTGTCTGAGTGGGGTATACATGTTAAACTAATGCAAGGTATTTTAGTGGGCTAGCACTATAAATCGGCATCAGTCCGGACTAGTACAAGTAGACACACACACACACACACGCGCGCGCGCGCGCGTGCATGCACGTCGCTATATATGTGCAATAATCTTGGACGCGACTTTAAACCCAATTTCAACTCACATCACCTATGTTACATTGTGTCTAAAGCTTGTGGAATGTGTTTAATGGGTTTTTTTCATATCTTTTCAGAATACGTGCACATAGCTTTCAATGACCAGACGAAAAAAATAATTCATTTCAAGTATGTTGAGAAGAAAACGTAAGTTAAGCAGACTATTTACATTCATAATACATTTTATGCCATAGGCTCTATTGTAAACTCCAGCTGCGTATAGGCTGACATTTATCTGATGCTATAATAGACAATATGGATCCACTCATCCATACATTTATTTTCTTCTGTGACAGAACCCATCTCTGAAAAGATCGCCTCACCAAAGAAAATATGACTTATTCATGAGACATAGTGCAAAGTCGCCCAAGGAAATGTCTTGTAATATAGCATGTGAATAAATACTTTTTTATTTCCTTTGCTTGTAATCATGTGAACTAAAAATGTTTGTTTTGGGGGAAAAGGTCATTTAAAGCAACTCCAGATTAAACTATCCAATGATTGAACCTTATGTCTCCTGAATTAAAATAATTCTGCTAAATATTACTGCAGGAATAAATAAATTGAGCTTATGAACATGTGAACACAATTGGACACACATTATTTATATTAGTCTCCTCGAGATCTTTCCAGTGATATAAAACAGGTTTTTGTAGCTCGCTTACTTCTGCGTTGTCAAGTGCGGACTCCTGGACATTCCGAAGTTGTCCTGCCCTGCCTCAAAGGGATCAGTAAAATGGGGAGCACAATTGGCGTCCAAGGGGATGACTGCTGCCGGCCTAAATGTCTATTATAAATTTTCTCTTATATTTTATCAATGAGAAAGTCAACAATTTCACATACTGATTTTTCAAATGTCTTTTGTCCTTAACCTTTGACTGCAGAGATGTAAATAAATCTATGATCACCACATTAAGTGACAAATGCCCCATGGATATGGGAATGAAGTCTTTTCTCATGTTTGTCGCATGGGATAGTGGTGTACAAAGTTGAAAAGCCAAATGTTTTGTCCTACTTCAACTTGACTGTGTTCTGAAAAAGGATCCAGGAACTGTTCAGAGAATCCGAATTGTAAACATCTAGCCAGTGCTATGTCAAATCTTGTCAGTAACCTCCCTGAAATATTGCCGCAGTACACGTGAATCAAGGGACCTACATGTCGTTTTCACATCCGACTTGAAGCGGTCATCAAATGGAGTTTTAGAAAGTGTTATGCTTGATGCCACATCTATTGAATCAAGCAAGTCTATCTATTGCTGGAAGAAAATTATTTTAAGACTACAACGCATCTCCAGCATTGTTTTTATAATGGAGATAATACTTATGTGATGGCAGCCTGTAAATAAAAAAGCCTTGACAAGCTACAGCCAGTGATTGATATTTTGGGGTACTCTGACATTTAATCACTGAGCGTGACCACCTGAACAACGCGTTCGTCTAATACACCCAGTAAAGGTTGATTGGAAGTTAAACAAACTTGAATCTCCTGAAATTATCATTATCATCAGCAAAGTACACAGTTTTTGCTTTCTATTTCTTTTAAATTAAAACACAAACCTGAACATAAATTCACAATAATTTCAACAAGCGCTGGGTATCTTCATAAGTTAAAAACATATTAATAAATGAAAATGACAAAGTGCAAAATATAGAGCCATGATGCATTGTATTTAACCTTCATTATTTTGAATTAATATGCTATATTATATACTTCATAATGATGCAGAAATGTAATGAGCAAATTATTTAAATTTAGGCTGTGTCGATATTTAAAATCGGGGCTGCATATTATATGAGCATATTTAAGAGACGCCATCATTGGAATGATTGAAGGTTTTACGAAATGTCGACTAGACAACTAGATGGAGGGATTACAGACATATAAAGCTCACTTTACTTTCTTTCAGGTGAACTTAAATTAAAAGCGTCATGGGATCAAACTCATTATTTGCTGAATAATAAAACTGATAAATGATACTTGTAACCGCACGTGTTGTTTTTGAATATTTGTTTTTCAAGTTGCATGAAATGAAAGTGGAATTAATCATTCTGGACAGTTGACATATGTAATATATTGTAACTCTGCAATGAACGAATCTTTAAGGAAAATAAAATATGCAACAACCACTCAGAAAAAAAACAAAATTATTCAACATGATGAAATGCCACGCCTGTCCGAAAATGAGCGTCTGCGAGCCATTGGTATGCTTGAAGCAGGATCGAGTTAATGTGATGTTGCAAGACAATTTAACGTCCAAAGAAACACCATTTGGTGTTGGCAACGTTGGCAACAGACGAATGCAGTCAGAGACCATCCTCGGAGTGGTAGCCCACGCGTAACCAATAATCTACAAGACCACTAGATTCGAACAACACACCTACGAAATCGAATCCATCCAGCAACAGTGACTGCAAGAAGCATACCTGGCCTTCGACGAATATCTTTACGAAGCGTACGTCGTCGCCTCAGATGTGCCAGTTGTTGGTTGGTTGGTTTGTTGTTTAACGCCGCACTCAGCAATATTCCAGCTATATGACGGCGGTCTGTAAATAATCGAGTCTGCACGAGACAATCCAGTGATTGACATCATGACAGATGTGCAGGGATTGTCGCCAGAAGACCAATCAGACGTCCCATTTTGACAGGAAGCCACGATCAAGCACGTCTACAGTGGTGCAGACAGCGTCTACGCTGGACGGCCATGCAGTGGGGACAAGTTCTATTCACTGACGAGTCTCGTTTTCACCTCAGCCACAACGATGGTCGGATTCGAGTGTACCGACGTCGAGTTAAACGTTACGTCTATTATTGTGTCATGGAAGAAGATCGGCTCGGGGACGGCAGCGTTATGGTATGGGGTGGGATTACAGCAAGACAGAGGACCCGTTTGATAGTGGTAGAGGGATATCTCAATGGACCGCGCTACCGCGACGAGATCATCAACCCTGTTGTTCCACCGTTTTTGGGTCGTCATGGCCCAGGCATTTCCTTTCAACATGACAACGCCTGACCTCATATTGATCGACTTGTTCAGGATTCTCTTCAACAAAACAACGTGAATGTCATCCCCTGGCCGGTTCGCTCTCCTGATCTCTCACCAATAGAGGACATGTAGGTTGAGATGGATCGGCGCCTTCGACGTCAAACGAGTGTTCCACAGACACTCCAGGAATTTCGAAACATGCTCCAGCAGATATGGACAGATATTCCACAGGACTTTGTGCGATGCCTGGTCCATTCCATGACACGAATTGAAGATATGTTGATTGCATCGCAACCGATGGGGACACATACGCTTTTGATTTGTAAATTGACATTTGGGCATTTTTTTTTATGAAATCACGCATTTTTAGAAGTCAGTGTGGCATATTAAACCATTTGAACACTTACAGGAGTCTTTTATCTGTTGCAAACCGTAATTGTTTCAGACTTGGTAAAAAAACATACCTTTGCATTAAATCTTAGTCAATGTCACAGGAACTTTTGTTGTTCAGTATAGTACAACCCGTCCACATGCAAATTAGAATCCAAGGTATAAATAACATCCGAAACTGCAGTTTTTTCTCAAGGAATATATAATTCAATTAAAGGTTTGCTATTCAATACTACCCCCGTCTCTTCCCACCCCTTACACGTTACTTGTTCACCTTTTGTCGCATTGTAACAACATGCAGGAAAAAACGGAGACTCATACTCACTTCTCTCAAAACGAAGTGATGAGCGTTGCTCTTTCCAGCATCCCTTGGTCGTTTTCCTTTAGCTGTTTTCAACTGACATTGCTTTGCTCCCTTCCAGTAGTATCCTGAGAGACATGTGCCATTTCCAATGCATGATACTACACAATGTATAAGGGAAACATCTCTGATAGAAGCTTCTGGGATTGACATAGGAACCAGATGGGTGGTTATCACAATGTTGCGAACACCCACACCATTCAAGGACCAATTGGCTAAGGCAAGATGTACATAGACGGCTATGCAGAAGGAAGTTTTCATAGTTGTTATGAATCGAATCAGCCTGGACCTCCTGCAGTGTTTCCAGATATCAGTATGTGCTTGGAACCCTCCAGGCTGATGGAAATCAATATAAGTATATACTTAGCATGTAGACAGCCTCCGCCTGGAACTGGGCGTACCTTGTCATTTATTCATTTGTGGATCTCAGTTTGTTGGTGAGACTTATCTTCATCTCGAAATGCCAGACTCTTAAGTGCCCAATGATTTCTGGCAGAGGAATGCACTACAAATCATCTTTACATTTAAAGTGGCATTAGTTTGTCGTAACCTCTTATGATAGTAATACAGTAACATTATGGCGATATTTGACGACGTTATCCCCAATAATATCTTGAAAGCTTTCATAAAATGACGCATTATGTCTGATGCATTAGCAAAACTCAGTTTCTAGATATTGTCATTTGAACATTGTCATATCGATTTCTAGTTTATTACTTATATTTTGCAATTGATTATAAAAAGAACTATTGTCAAGTTGTAAAAAGTAACTTATAATATGTTTAATTTTCAGTAATAACAAATAAAATATCAGAAAAAGCCGACTTTTGTTTTGACATGGAACAATTTGAGTAAAGAAATAAGTGAAATTGTCATAACCATATTGTTCCATCTCAATGTGACTTCTATTTCATGTGTTTAAATCATTATCAGTTAGGTCAATCGGGTAAAAAGCGAAGAAATATGTGGAAATTGACTGTAGTTTTTCGTTGAAAACAAAAGCAACAAACAATAATATCATGTAACATTTAATTTAAAAAGAAACGTTTATCAACATTCATCAACCAAAACAAAACGAAGTTCACGATCCTGGTTGTAACTGACACTTTGCTTTGTCTTAATTTTAAGGACAAATATGATGTCAACCTAAAATTCTTTGCAGCATTGAGTGTACCTGTATGCCTGTCACTGAATGTGTTTGATGTTGCAGAAACATATTTTGTTCAAAGCAACATTATTCTTACACAATCACGTATGAAAAATTCAAAGGTCAGGAACGATTTCAAAACACGATTTCTTCAAAACATTAATACCAAAGAACACTTATTCTTATAATTACTTGACACCATGACTTGATAAGAAAGGTCCCTCAATAACATGAAGTAACAACAGCTATAACTGTTTCATGAACAAGTGAATTTGAAACAAACTAAATGATCAGCTTGGATGTCAGACCTCACCAGTTCCTCAAAATCATCAGTTCCCCTTGTGAACATTATGAACACATCAACAGCTCCTTTTAACTAACTGTTATAGGCATTCATATATGAAATATCAAAATGTCAGGAACAATTTCACAACATTAATACCGAAAGAAAACTTATTCTCTAAACAATATATCTCCAAATCTTGATTTCTCCAAAAAAGGTCCCCAAATAACACGGAATCATACAATGAAAGAAACTAGATTATTAATTTGAATGTCAGACAATACTTTTAAGATCATCAGCTTGATGTATCAATAATCTAATGCAAGTCACTGGTCATGGGTTCATGAACATGAACAATACAACCATAACTAAATGAAGTTCACCTTCCTGGTCCATTGAAACATTGCAAAACAAACTCTTAAGAATAATTATAAATGAACACTTCAACAGTTTCAGGAACAATTTTAAAACACGAATTCCTCAGAACATCAATACAGAAAAATCACTTATTCTTAAAATGACTTGACTCTGTGACTTAAAAAAACAGGTCCCTCCATGATACAAATGAATGAAGTAACAGTAATGTTAGGCACATCACTGCCCAAGGGTTCATGAACAATACAACCATAACTAAATGAAGTTTACCTTCCTGGTAGTAACTGCCTGTGGACAACTCAACACCTTTTCCAAATCAAAACATATAACAGCTTTTGTCTTGTCCTGCCTGTCCCTGTTGCTTTACTCCTGCGTTGCCATCTTCGATTGGAAATGAGACAAGTATTCTTCCCGAAGCTCCTCATCAGTACAGTCATGTTTTTCTTTCATTCTATATTCCTCACATCTGCCGCAGCGGTCTTTCTCTGGTTTGTGAAATTCGATCGATGTTAAAGTCCGAATTGAAAATATTTCGGTACATGTGCTCTTTGACAGGATCTCGTCCATCAGCATAACACCTCTCACAATACAGTCTATCTATGTTTGCCATGGTTAAATTTTGATCTACAGTAATGTGACTCTATCCTTGGAAATGAGTTTATGTGATCGCGTACACGTTGTTTACGCTGAGAAGATATTCTGTCACGTGTACGCGTCCCCCTTATGTCTCCCCCTAAAGGTACGACAGTAGCATGGTTGTATTTCTTCTCAAAGAAATAGGAAACTCGCCTTTGCGATATGCCTAGAGTAATCAGGTAGAATTCTTTGCACAGTCTGACTCTTTCACTTCCTATAAACACGTAATATGCACAGGAAAACTTTCTGTTGCTGTCCTTGTTGCCACGGGTTCGACTTCTTTGTTTGTGAGTCCTATCTACTGTTTTGCTGTAGAAAAGGAACTTTTCATTGTCTCTCATTGCCCAAAAGGACACAAATGTACTTTCTCTTTGTGTCATATTGATTTTCTGGCTACATTTAAATTTACATTTTCCTTGACAGTCCTTCGTTGTTTTGATTGATTTTTCTTCTATTCTTCCTGTACAAGTCAAGTAACTCTGTCAGGCCTGTCTACGTCGTTTTCTTGTGTTTTTCTAGTTTTGAGGATCTCTTTTCTCCTTTTGTTCACCCGTAGTTGTGTCTTGTGTTGTGGTACTGGGCTGCAATTCAACTAAATCTTCATCAGCATCATCCATAACAACGTCCTGGGTGCCTTGTACAAAGCGATCTTAGCGCTAAGGTGATCGTAACTCCCATACCTTAACATAGACTTACGAGAGTCGTAGCGCTAAGGTTGTTTTGAACAACGGCACCCAGGTCTTTGGCTTTCTCAGCTGTTGATGGACGAGGCTGAAGGTCACTACCGACTTTTCCACTATCATCCAGAGTGGCATTTGGTGGACTTACAATCACTTGAGTTTCAACAGATGGATGTGGAATCTCAAAATCTGCATCATCAGTATCAGGGGTGTATTACTTATCTGATGCAGAATCGGAAATTGATTCTTCTTTGTTACTTGAATCATTGAGATTTTGGAATGCAGTTAAATCAGTAGTTACCAGTTCAACAATATTTGAGAAAGGAGTGAGTGAGTGAGTATGGTTTTACGCCGCTTTTAGCAATATTCCAGCAATATCTCGGCGGGGGACACCAGAAATGGGCTTCACACATTGTACCCATGTCGGGAATCGAACCCGGGTCTTCGGCATGACGAGCGAACGCTTTAACCACTAGGCTACCCGACCGCCCTGAGAAAGGAAGATCAGCATCAGTGGCAAATGAAACTGTTGCCTCCTTAGGGGAATCAAAGTCAATTACTGGCTCCACCTCATACACGTTATCAGATGTAACATCGTCATCAGTGTTTTAGATTAAGAAAACAGCCTGTTCAAGGTCAAATGTGCAAGACATCGTAAAAATCCTACGAGTTATGTACGGATTCTGAACCTGCAATCTATGAATTCATCAGCTACGCAACACTGAAAATCCTCCAAGGTAAATGATTCTTCTAAAGTTATGCATACATTCGCTCACGTCACTTCTCATTTTGGGGTACTATTTTATTCCGTAATGAAGCTGGTTGTTTTATGGCTGTCAGTGTAAACATGAAGACACACGTATAGATCTGGCGCTACATTCCTCGAGGTATAAAAAATTATAAAATTGCACGTCGCAAGATCCGACGTTTATACGAAATGTCCGTCACTCTCTGAAGGTTCATACTCCAATACACTCACGCTATGAGAGGCAATTATTAAATAAAGCCCTGCTGGGAGAGTAGATGGTTGGTAAGTTGGTTTCTGTTTAGCGCCGCACTCAGCAATAGTCCAGCTATATGACGGCGGTCTGTAAATAATCGAGTCTGGACCAGACAATGCAAAGATTGACATCATGAGCATCGATCCACGCAATTGGGATCGATGACATGCATCAACCAAGTCAGCGAGCCTGACCACCCGATCCCGTTAGTCGCCTTTTACGACAAGCATAGTCACCTTTAACGGCAAGCATGTGTTGCTGAAGACCTATTCTACCCCGGAATCTTCACGGGTCACTTGAATTTGAAAGCTCAAGGAGCTTAGAGTAGGCTATATATAATACAATAAAACGATAACTGGCACGGGTAAAAGAAGGCAATATTATTATTTTTAACGGTACAATTATAAATAATATCTAGATTAAATGAAAGAGAAAATATGAATTATTTTGATTTAAGTAGGGTTCTATGTATATACAGTTCATGTGATTAAAACTCACCCTCGTCACAGCTTGTATTTCGCACTATGCCGCCTTACTCAGACCTTTGCTCAAAATATACTTGTATGGCCAGTCCATTAAATACAATTTTTTTCCTCCATATTGTTTTATAAGTACGGATTTACAGCAAGGTATGTACATTCAGGATAGTTTATTTCCAGTACAGTTTCCCATTTGAAATTGATAATGACCGTAAATCAATGACCGAAATGGAATTATGTGTCATAAAAGGAAAAATATCTTGGTATCGAACTATGAAAATTTAAGCACCGAAATCTTTGATATGAATGGTTTTCACTTATTATGTTTTTTCCTTTTTTCTTTTTGCCTAGCTAAACTACACCTTGGAGGGACGATATACAATTGAAAATTGTGAGAAAAAAACAAGAATGCATCTGCTCTTAGATATTTTTTTACTATTAAAACTATTTTTTACTAAGGATACAAAAGAAAGTAATTACTACTATGTCACTGATCGAAGTATGTGATACTTTAGATAATGCAAAGTGAAAAATATAAACAAAACTATTTATAACATCGAAACGAAATCACATTTACACTGAAAACATTATGTACTTCAGAAATCGATTTATTTTCTTGGAATATCAAAATTAGAAAACTACGCCAACTTTTTTAACAGTGTTAGTCACGCGATAAGCGGTCTCATTCACTCGTCGGTCGCCATGGAAACTTTCCAATCGTGGTGTACTAGATATACTTTCCAGTTCAGTCAAAGAGAATATTGTAATTTAGGAACTAAAACCACGTGTATCCATTACGTTAGACAATCATCAGACAAGCTGTTTCACATGACGTCTTCCGGGGTAGAATAGGTCTTCAGCAACCCATGCTTGCCGTAAAAGGTGACTATGCTTGTCGTAAAAGGCGACTGACGGGATCGGGTTGTCAGGCTCGCTGACTTGGTTGATGCACGCATCGATCCAAATTTAATTGCGTGGATCGATGCTCAGGATATTAATCACTGGATTGTCTGGTCCAGACTCGATTATTTACAGACCGCCGTCATATAGCTGGAATATTGCTGCGTGCGGCGTTAAACAACAAACAAAAAAACATTCCACCAAGTCACAACACGCGATCGCGAGGTCAAATCACGCGCACGGAAAAGGTCGAGAAGCGCGGTAACCACTTTATTAATCTCACCATATTTCGCAGTCCGTAGTACTGTATAAAATATGAGGTATACGATGTTAAATCCGAGGTTATTAGGGTGATGGTGGTTATAAATTTGAGTTTGCTCACTCAGCGTTTGACATCTTAATTCACAGTTGCAAAGGGACATTTTCACTGGACCAGATGGTTCCGTGGCACCAAGAGGGTTAACGCAACAATTGAATTTACATTTAATCCTGATATCTTGATAAACAGCATGTTTCCACTAAAAATTAAAAAGAAGTAGTTTCTAAAGAACATCGATGATTGAGCGGGAGCTTAGTGTAATTAGGGAAGGTTGGTTTTTTTAATTTGAAGCATCAGCTAGCCGGTGCAACTAGTATCTGATATCTCAGAATTTAAAACTTACTAACTGCATTGATGCTCTAGTTAATTATGTGTTACGATAAAGAATAACAACGAGCGCAGCGTGAAAACAACGGGCTTTTTTACGTAAAAGTGTTGTTGAAATTGATCACCATTATTTTCCCATAATGACGGGACCCGTGAAGATTCCGGGATAGAATAGGTCTTCAGCAACCCATGCTTGCCGTGAAAGACAACTATGCTTGTCGTAAAAGGCGACCAACGGGATCGGGTGGTCTGGCTCGCTGACTTGGTTGATGCATGTCATCGATCCCAATTGCGTGGATCGATGCTCATGACATTAATCACTGGATTGTCTGGTCCAGACTCGATTAATTACAGACCGCCGTCATACAGCTGGAATATTGCTGAGTGCGGCGTTAAACAACCAACCAACCCTCCAAGGCGAGAAACACAGTATTTTATCACGATCACGTGGACCAATCACATTTTATCATTCTGACATGGAGGTATGATAATAGGACATAGCATAATTGGTACAAATGATGAAGAGAAGATAGTGTTCAACTCTTTATTGTCCTTCGTAACAAAAAATATGTTCTGAAGAATAAAATAAATATTATCTTTAGTGATAATAAAGCAAATAAATCAATTACAGTTCTTGAAAAGTATTCAAACATTCATAATGTTCACCCAAAAATCATCCCCAATAAAGTTTACATTACATTTTGAAACAAGGATTTCTCCCTAAATTTAACTTGCTCCAAAATTCAAATGTACGGTAAATAAACATTATTTTCTTTGACTGACATTTAGGAAGAAAAGAATAGTTATACCATTTAGGCGATATAGCAATACTTGAAAACATTAGCAATACTTTCAGTATATAATCTGTGCACTCAAAGATGATCGAAGATCGAACAACACGCTCCTTGAAAAAATCAAAATTTATTTTCAATGAAGTTGGCATGATAATATCTTAAACATAAAACAGTATTTTATACCTGAAGCCGCTAACTCTCTGTAACACTGAAAACTTCTCACACATTTGGCCATCGCGGGTCGCTCACGCTCATCGCTGGAGCTCGCAAAACACAACAGGGAGTAATCATTATTTTGGAAACACAATGCATAGGTTGGTTGGTTTGTTGTTTAACGCCGCATTGATCAGTATTCCAGCTATATGACGGCGGTACAATACATAGGACAAAACGGCTAACTAAAATATTTCTTTCTTGGCATAAATGAAATTAAATATTAGTTATTTTACATTCAAATGTCATTTCAACCAATAGTCGCCTTCTACGACAGGCATGGGTTGCTGAAGATCTATTCTGCCCTGGATCTTCACGGGTCCTCTTTATACAAAGACAAGTGCTCATGATATAGTTGGAATCGTACAAGGGTGTCTGCATTTGCCAGAGATGTCATACTGAAAGTAGGACCCCACACGAAAAAAGTCACCTTTCTGCTAAAATGACTTACAAGTTCTACACATTGAGTGTTGTAGTGAGAAAATCATCCCAACCAGCACAGCCTCTACAGCCATGCCCAGCAATGAGGCTTGCCAAATGTGGAAATTGGGAGTGTAACACATAAAAGAGAGTAAGCGTTAATAATGGGTCAGCGAGCACATATTGTTTCAAACGACATTATCGACGAGACCATTTGTATTCTGCTCAATAGCCAGGGTACAATGTCACAACAAGACAGCCAGGCTAATATTTGACATTAATCCTATTTTCACCCCGGACATATATTTTTTTAATTTTTTTCGGAGCATTCTATGTGTAACCAATGGTCTTATTATAACAAAATATATTAAGGTTGTGTAAAGAATATTGCACGTGCCCGCCACGGAAACCATGTTGAACATATAATTGTGTCACCACACAGATTTTATTAGTTTATCATTGCAAATACCTTTTGCAAGGGTAAATTATTTATGGCGCCTCCTGGTGTACCGATTCGAGCGTTTTGTTTGCGTGTCCCATTTGGCTCAAACTGGTCGGGAAGTATCCGACATCATAACCAGTGTTATTTGTGGAATGTTTGTTTGTTTGTTGTTTAACACCGCCCTCGGCAATATTCCAGCTATATGACGGCAGTCTGTGAATAATCGAATCTGGACCAGACAGTCCAGTGATTGACATGATGAGCATCGATCCACGCAATTGGGATACGATGACA